CACAAGTTCTTTTGAAGGGTTAGGGGAGGCACACACCAGGTCCAGAGCCCAGCAACATGCCAGCAATGATGGTTATCTGTTAGTATGACTTCAGCGTTTGCTTAGGGAACTCAGGATCCCATCAGATTTCCAGCTTTCACAGTGGAATTCTCCAGCACAGCCTTGGCCTGCACCCTCAGAAGCTTGGCGTGACCCCCCCCTTCCTCATCCCTGGGGCCTAGCCTGCCAGCTCAATCAGTCACTTTCTCTCCTGGCTGCCCACTTTTGGCTTTTGGTTCTAGTAATCCACAATTGTGGGTTCACACAGAGACACCTAGAGGCAGATGTGCCACAGCACAGCACTCAGTCCCAGGGGGCAGGAACGGGCAATTCCAGCCCGGCCTGCCCTCCCCAAGGCAGCAAGCCGGGGTGGCTTCAGGGAAGAGCCTCCCTGGGTGCAGCAATGACCTGCCTCAAGGGCACTGGCTCTTCTCCCTTTCCTTCCCCCACCTCTGGCCCCGTGCTTTCTAGGTATCGGGCCCTGCCAGTTGCTTTCCAAAACTCAGACCCAATTTCACAGCTGCAGAAACCAAAACAGAAGACAGCAATAGCCACACACATGCGTACTGAGCACCAACTGCACCCTAGGCAGACGTCAGGCGTCATACTTGTGTGAATGGGCTCAGGCCTTGCGCTAGCACTGCTAATAGCATTTCACAGAGGAGAAAACTGAAGCCCACAGAAATTCAGGAAATCATCTGACGACACAGTTGACTGGACATCCTGGGTCCCAGGACCCACCTCAGCATAGACTATGCATGCCTCTATATGGAGATGCCTCCAAATGGAGATCTATCTGATTAGCCGATGAGGCACACCAGCAAGGAATGTGGAGGAAACAGCCAACAGCCTCAAGGAGGGGCAGGAACAGGATGGACTAAGGTAGAGAGAGAGAGGTAGGGGTTTAGCATAGGGCCTGGGTTTGTACAGTAGCCAAACTTGAGCCAGGCACCAGTGGCTCACGCCTGCAATGCTTGCTACGCAGGAGGTTGAGATCTAAGGATCTCGGTTCAAAGCCGGCCAAGGCAGGAAAATCCATGAGATTCATCTCCAATTAATCACAGAAAAGGCCAGAAGTGGTGCTGTGGCTCAAGTGGTAGAGCATTACCAGCCTCGGGCAAAAAGGAGCTCAGGGACAAGGCCCAGGTCCAAAGTTTAAACCCCAGGACTGGCAAAAAAGCCAAAATGGGTCAGGTTGGGTGTCAGTGGATTCTGTACAAATGGAAACTCCTCTAGTTCACACCATCAGCGACATGGGACAGAGCAGCCTACAAGGCTCCCGTCAGCCACCTTGTAGCATCATGCGTGCAGAAACAGGGCTTTGCCAGCAAGGACACCCAGCACCGGCTGGTGCTTTGTTGTTTTTTTTTGTGAAAAACTTGGACCAAGAGCGCAACAGTTTTGAGCTGAGGAGAGACATGACGAGAGAGGTGTTGACAAGTCAGGAATCGAGCACAGTTAAAAAGAGTGGCTGGGGGGGGGAGGGGACCCCCATCAGTCCAAGATTACAAATAAGAAAATAACCTGTCGCACGGAGCCCTTGGAAGCAGCGAGCGAGCGTGTGGGATCCGAACAACACTTTTAGACTCCCTTCCTCTACCACACCCCCTCTCCATCTGTCGCAAAGGGCACCAGGAAGATGCAGGAGGAACATTCCAGCTCTTGAGGGCTCCAGAGCTTGGCAGCCCAGATGGGGGGGAAGGGAGGGGCCCCTCTCACAGAAGCCACATCGCGCCCCATGTGTTGTCATCTGTGGGGCCAAGGGGCTGTCAAGAACAACGCCCCTGACTCAGGCAAGAATTTCTGCCCCATCTACCACTCTCCACCTTAGCACCGAAATGGGGGAGAGGGAAGGCTCCTCACCCCTCCAGGAAGGGATGAAGTAATGCTGTCCAAGTTTTACTCATCTCGCCCATCGGAACCCACCCAGTAGGAAAGGCTGCATCCAAGATCCTGGCTCCCTCACCACTTAGTCCTGGGACGAGTACGTCCCCAGTCTTTTATTTTTTTGGACTCGGTTTTCCTCATCTGTAAAATGGGGATGAAAGCCAAGTCAGATGATGCGTGAGTTACTTAATAACCATTGGCTTGTGTTCCTCCCTCCCTGAGCCCAGGGTTCACGTCAGGACTTCACACATGCCCAACGAATGAGTCACATCACAAATCTCCACGGGGTTGGTAAAGGGATAACGAAGAGCCAGAATGTACCCAGAAAGCCCCGTAGCATTAAGGACCTTGCAAGAGCCAGGCACACATGTGAACCACCCCCCCACATACACATACACACGCCCTTTCTTTTCCTATGAAAGAGGAAGTGAGAACAGTTTTACCACTGTGGAAAGCACAGCACAGCCACCCAGGTTGCCACATTCTACCCTACCCGGTGTCACACACTCTCTGGGCACCCCACTGCTCCCCAAAACCAAACCCCATGTGAAGGACTTCATCCAAGGGCTATAGGGAGGTGTCCCCGAGATCCCAGGGCCCAGGGAAGGCCAGGTGAGCATCCAGCAGGGTCAGAGTCAGTCCCCAGAACCAGGCTCTTCCAGCGCCCCCATGTCCCCCTGTTCAGGACACCAAGAAACAGACTTTCCACAGGGTCGGAGCACACTGGGTGGTGACTTCACCAGCATCATTTTAGAATTTCCCTTTGGCAGCATCTGTGCCAAATACAGTCTTTAGCAACTTCTTCCCCTGTCTTTCCCCACCAAGATAATTCACATGACCGGTCTCCCCCCCCCCCACCATGGGGATCATGTGAAGCCCCAGCTGTCACGTGATGCTTTCAGGATGACAGCTCTGCCTGAGACACAAGCCTGCCACCAGCGGTCCCTCAATCTACAGCCGTCTCCGAAGCCTGACATTTGAGGTTCTCACTCGAAACAAATCCATTTTCTTAGAAAATTGGACAACTGCCTTTTCTACCTTCTTGCCTTTCTAAGCTTGTCTCTCTACGACTTTGCCGTAAATTCGATGCCCCAAACCACAGGGATCGACCCAGACCTGGAGCCCCTGCCCCCCCTCCCCATTCTCCAAGCAAGCCTTTCAGTAAAGTCCATGCCTGGGCCCAGAGTATGACTGGACTCCCACAGGACCCCAAATGAGGGGTGCAGGAAGGCTCAAGCTCTGGGCACCCTCCCTCCTCCCACCAAGGGGGTCATCATTCTCCCCTCCTAGGATGTATTTATTTCAAAGTTAACTGGGCCCCTCTGCTGCATCCGCTTTTGTGGGTTATTGATGCCGAATGGATTGGAACGGAAGTTTTATGGTCCAATCTTTACCATTTTATAGATTGTTTTTATAGGTTACGGGGGGGGGGAGAAGTGCTCACAGGAAAGGTACTGGTGTTTCTAGGCAGCACCCCGGGAAGGGCAGGCTGCCCATCTGAACACTTGCTAATCAGTGGCATTGGTCCTCATTGGTCCTGGTTGGAGAAGGGTCTGGAATAGATATTTAAAAATTAACTTGGGCCCAGTTTCCTGCTTCAGGAAAATGAAGCACTTTTGGAGAGATGCGTGTGCATTTCCCAGCCATTGAGGACAGCAGGGCAGAAACTGGGACTTTTTTTTTTTGGTCACAGCACAAATGGCCAGCTTGGGCAGGCAGGGGCACAGGAAATCAGAGAGCCACTTACAGGAGAGAGAGGAAATTTATCAGTGTTCTGACCACCAGGCAAGGACCGATTTGTAACTGAAAACGTCGGAGGTTAGGAGAAGGGGGGGGCTGCTTTGTGGCTGTTGGGTTCAGGGAAACTGCAGGGCACGGAGAAGCTGCCGTCCAGCCCCCACTTCTTCCACCCACTCTGCTAGTTCTCTCTTCCTCCCTGCTATCAGATGGCTACCGGGCTCCATACAACACAGAGGAACAGACCCAGAGCCCATCTTCACCTCCCCACTCAAAAGGAGGGGTGGCGGGGACCCCCCCCCCGACCATCTAACACTGCTCCAAGAAGCCAACAAACTACATCTCCCTTCTATCCCTCCCCAGCCCCTTGAACCCCATTTATCTCCGGGCCCCTCCTCCCTGGAGACTGGGGATTTTGCAAACCCTCTTTAAGAAGCAGGACTCTTCTAAATGGTGACCTCACCCCTTGGCGAACATACGTTTGCTTTCAGAGCTGCCCGCCCGCCTGCCTGCTAGAGACAGCCAGGTGTTTGATGTAGGCCAACAAAAAGACATGCTCCGAGCCACAGGTAACAGCCCCGCAGAACACCTGAACTGCAGGGAGCTGCCTCCGCCAGGAGAAGACAGGCAGGACGAGAGCCGGAGCGGGCGGGCGAGCCAGCCCGGGAGGGAGAGCCCGGGGAAGGCTGAGCCGCCGCCGGGCAATCCACCCCGTCTCCCCCGAGGATCTGTTGATCGCGGTGGCTCACCAGGGCCTCCCTTTCTCGCCCCCCCCAAACATCTCTGGACTCAGCTAGCCGCGGAGACGGCTCACTCTCCCCTAATTCCAACAGCCTGTCTCCAGCGGGCTCGGCTGCCACCCGCCTCTCTCAGACCCCCTAGTCTAACCTGTGGAAAGCTGAAGTCTAGCGAGAAAGCTTCTAGGGGGAGAAGCCAGGAGCTCCCGAGCCCTGCGCGGGCAGCCACTGCCGCCGCCGGTCTGCCTCTTCCATCAGACTGGGCAGGGCTGGGTATAACAACTCACATCTACGTCCCGGTGCCCGGCGGGAGGGTTGCACCCCGAGCAGGCAGGCAAGCCCCCTCTTAGGAAGAGTTCTACCCTAGGCTGTGTGACCTTGGGCAAGTGGTTGGCTCTCTCTGGGCCTCAGTTTCTGCATCTGTAACCCTGGTTTACAGAGACACAACCACCACCACCACCACCCCCCTCCCGCATACACACACACATACACCGGGTACACCACCGGGACTGCTGGGCTGGAGCCGAGCGGCTCCCGGGGGCCGTCGGCGCGGCGCGAGGCCCGAGCCCCGCGGCTCGGGGAGGGAGTCGGGGCGCTTACCTGACCAGGCGCAGGAC